GCAAAAATATAGGGACTGTAAACCCCTGGCTCAGAAGAGTTGGGAACATTTAAGGTAATTTTAATATTCTGTTGGAATTATAGTGGCTGGGTAGAAAAGAGTAAGAGGATCAACACCAATGGGTAGGATCTGGTTCCACATCTGAGCCAGAAGGGAGGTGGGATGGTTTCAGAGAAGGAAGAGAAAAGATAAAAGGGTAAATTTCAGGAACTTTAGCTCAGAAGTGCAAATAATCAAGTTTCATCTCATTTATTTCATCTCAATTATTCCAAATAATTGTGACACCTCCACATAATTAACATGACAGTGAGTACACCAGTGATCAGATCACATTCTCTGATCTGTGTGACTCACAACTGTTAAATGCAGTTGTCCTACATTTCTATGCCACCTCTTTTCTAAAACATCAAGGTAACCAAAGGATGATCTAATCTAAAACCTCTTCTTTTGTATACGTATATGCTTAAATGGATATCTATGAATATACATGCATGCATACATGTGTGTATAGGCATAAATAGATACATATATATATATATATATATATATATATATATATATATATATATATATATATATACGCTTGTTTGTATATCCTTATCATGGGGTGATAGAGACCTGAGCCAAGAGTGAAAAAGATTTGGGATTTTGGTTAGAGTGTGCCAAAAGGAGACATTAATTCTGTAGGAGACATTAACCAGACCATGTGTTTGCTTATTGTTGAAAGATGTTGAAAGATGTTAGACTAGATGATCTTTTTTGATTCTTTTTCACCCTAAAACTCTAAATATCTACCTGGAAGTCAGAGCTCCAACTTAGCTTTCCTTAACAGGAATTGTTTCTTCTAGATTCTAATTCTGGACAGAATTTATCTTTAGTCTTTCATTTTTTTTCCCCTATCAGTACAATACAGAAATGAAGGAAGGTATCAAAACAAAGATACTGCAGGGGTGCCTGGGTGGCTCAGTCAGTTGAGCATACAACTCTTGATTTTGGCTCAGGTCATGTTCCCGGGGTCATGGGATCGAGCCCCACATTGGGCTCCATGCTGAGCTTGGAGCCTGATTGGGATTCTCTCTCTCTCCACTTGCATGCTATCACTCTCTCTCTAAAATAAAAAAAAAAAAAAAAAAAAACCAAATAAATAAACAAACAGAAAACCAAAAATACTGCAGTATAGAAAGATTTTGCCAAATAACTCCAGACTTTTGAGTCCATGACTTACTTATAATAAATATTTGCACCATAGTAGAGGCCATATGGGGGAATAAGGAAGATGCAGAAATTGGGAGTATGGACATTCTGGATTTAGTTCTGGATTTTTTTTCTAAGTCAACAAATATATACTGAACATCTTCTAAATGTTAAATAACAAGATATAAGTGTTCTCTGCAAGTCTAGTAGAGGAGATATATTGAACATGTAATTATACCAATAATAATGAGCTACAGATACATTAAGTTATTTGAAGATACAGTTGGAAGATACAGGGATTCAAACAGGGGGCTTGCTGTAGAGGAAAGGGGGCCCTTGGAAACTAGCTTTGTGGTCTAATTCATCACTTTACAGTCTAGGTCCAAAGTTCCTCACATAACAAGGAACTTCTCATTCTAACATACAGTGGAGATCCTGACACAGAATCTAAAACCATGTTCCATGTTCTGACCTGAACTGATTTCAGATATGCTTGGATCCCCTACGAGTTTGTAAGTTCCTTGAAGAGTTTTCTTTTCCCCTTTTTAGAATACTTTATACAATAAATGTTTATTAAGCCAGGCATTATATGATTTAGATTACAGATAAAAAAATCACAGTCCCTGCTCTTACGTGGCCATGGTCATACTGGGGAAAAAAGCAAATGGGAAATTTCAAATCAAGTAGTTGGTATGGTGAGAGCAGTGTTCATAGGGTGCTGGAGTTGCCAAGAGTAGAGGCATCAAAGCTGGTCTTCAGTGGATGTTCTGGAAGATGGTTCCCTAAAGAACAAAAAGGAGGTAGCAAGTGAAGAAGGTAAAGGGTGTTGGTGCAGATGTTCTGGTAATATATAATAAGACAAGGTCATAGGAATTAGCAAGCTCTTTCCTGGAAAGGGAGGTCTAAACTCAGGTGGCTGAATGGACAGTTATAGGAGATGGTGACATAGACAGGGACCAGAATTTGAAGATTAAAGAGTTGGGACTATACATTGTAGGGAGCTATTATAAAATATTTTTTAAAGAGGGACAAAACATTATTACTCTCTTGGATCTGCAGTGGCTGGAACAGAAAACAGTAAGAGGATAAATTGTGTGAAGAATGGATCAGAAGAGGGTTAAGGTTGGGGCCTAGAAATCAGGTAGAAGCCTCCTGCAGGAGGAGTCTGGGTGAAAGATGCCAAGTGAACTAAGGATTATAGCCACAGAGATAAAAAGATGAAGGCACAGAATCAGAAGTGTAAAAGTTGGGATCAAGTGGACTTAGACCAGAAGCAGGGACCGTAAGAATAAGAAAGAAGTGTCTGATGATTCTCAGATTTCTAACTCAGCAACTGGTAGGTGGGAGTTTCAATACCTGAGCTGGAAGTTAAAAGAGGAGGATCAGGTTGGGGCTATGGGGAAATATTAGTGCTATTATGACTGAGGTTCCTATGGAACATCTATGTGGAAATATCTAGACAGAAGCCAGATAGATGAACCTGGAACACAGGAAAGGAGTATGGCCAGAGGATGTCAATTTTTAAAAAGACAGTGATAAACATTTCAAATAACTTTGCATATGTCTTATTGATAGGAATACTTCTTCATGACAAAAAGCACAGAATCCAAGCTGTGAAAGCCTATAATATATTTTTAATATTTAGTAGATGAAAGAATGAATGGGTGAATAAGAATTGTTATAATAGCAAAGAGTTCCTGTCAAATTATTATAGTTTGTGTATTTGGGTGTATAGTGTGTGCACGTGTGAATATATATGTATTGATGTATGTATATCTATGTAGTTACGTATGCACACATACACATTCATATCAAGATTAGCAATAAATTAATACTGTGCATCTGTATTAGTCAGCTAGGGCAGCCATAACAAAAAGGACTGGTTGCCTTAAGCAACAGAAATTTACTTTCTCACAGTTTTGAAGTCTGAAAGTCCAAGATCAAGCTACCCTCAAGGTGAGTTTTTGGTGAGCCCTCTCCTCCTGGCTTGTAGACTGCACCTTCACACTGGGTTTCACAAGTCCTTTCCTCTGTGCCAGTGCAGAAAGCAATCCCTGGTGTCCCTTCCTTTTCTTATAAAGACACCAGTTAGTAATCTTAATTACCTCCTGATAGGCCCTGTCTCCAAACATAGTCACAATGAGCGTTAGACTTCATTGAATTTTGGGGGGACACGATTCAGTCCATAACAACATCAGTGCATTTGACGTCCACATCAATTTTTTTCTCAGAGAAAGGGTAGTCTCTGGGAAAACAAAGAAACTGTTCTGTGTCATAAAAGAGGATACCTATATTTAAAGGGAGAGATATGCTTGGTAAAGGTCAAAAAGTTTACCGATTTGTAAATAATTATAATTATTTTCCACTTTACTTGGCTATATCAAAATACAATCATTTTCCTACAGATTTTTTTTTTCTTTTTCATTTTGGAGAGGATTATAAGCTACTTGCAAGTAGATAAACCTGTCATAGCTGAATGGGTTTAATTGGTTGTTATTGCCTATTGCTCTATGGAAACCAGGCAGGAAAAGCCACAAAAGGTTGACGTCCCACAAGAATGTCATACCATGAAGGTGTAAACTTAAAGCGGAGATCACTTGTAGAAAACTGTGTTGCATTCTTGGCATGTGTGCATTTGGCAATAAAGTTAACTTTCACTTACTGTTAGATTTAATGGAGGGGCTAATGCCAGTTTATTTTGCGCCTGTTCTGTTTTACCTCTTTGCACACTTGGCCTTCGTTTAGCTCTGGCCCCGTGTTGCTGCTCCCCCTAAATGCTCCCCCGGGGGTGGGAAGACCCCGCCCTGACAGCCAGGTAACAGAGACAGGGTGGGAAGCCCGAGCTCTGAGGGCGCGGAGCCTCACGCATACCGTTCCCCTCCCACCATCATCCCGCTGCTGGGAGGCGGAGAGGGCTTCAAACTTAGCTCCAATCCGCAGCCGGCCTTCCCCGGGGTCCCCTGCTGGGCGACCCGCCCGCAGCGGACCCAGTTGGAAGAACTTTGCGGAGCTCGGCGTCAGAGCCTGGAGCGGCGAAGTGCTCCCCCTCCTCCCCAGCGGCCCCCTCCCTCTGCCCCCGCCTCCCGGTCCTCGCCCAGGCTCGAGCTCCGGTGATAGGACGAGCTCCGGGCGTGCATTGTGTATATGCAAACCAGAGTCCCGGCTCCCCGGGGCTGCCCTACCCCGCCGGGGCTGAGGCTGCGGCTGGAGCTGCGGTGGGTGCTGCTGTCCTCGCCGGAGCCCGGCGCTGTCATGCCCCCGCCGCGCGGCGGGCCGCTGAGTCCCGGAGCCGCTGTATAAGCGCAGGCAAGGGGACATTCGGAGGGGCTGAAGATGAAGGTGCCCGCGCATGGGCCCCCACTGATTGCCAACCCCTCCCGAGCCCGCGCCCAGCGCGGAGCCCGCGGCCGCCCAGGACCCGCCTTCGCCGCAGTAGCAGCTGGAGCAGCGACAGAGGAGGCAGCTACGGCGGTGGCGGCGGCGCCCGTCGCCGGAGCGCGTAGATCGGCGGCGGCAGCTCGGGGGCCGCCGCTGCCCCGGCTGCCATGAGTTGTGCGGAGGTGATGTATCACCCCCAGCCGTATGGAGCGCCCCAGTATCTGCCCAACCCTGTGGCAGCTGCAACCTGCCCCACAGCCTACTACCACCCGGCGCCCCAACCTGGCCAGCAGGTGAGTCACCGACCGGGCAGCCCGCCGGGGGCGGGGGCGGGGGCGAGGGGCACCGAGAGTATCTGTCTGGGACTGGGGCGACGTCCCGCCGGGACGGGTGGCGCGGAGGATGCTCTGGGACCTGCGGGAGCGCCCTTGAGCCGAAAGCCATTAGTAGGGAAGAGGAGAGGCTTCGGGAAGGGACGAGCACAGCAGCCTGGTGGACGGGTGGGGATTCATTACCTGGCTGGGGGCTTCATTGGCTGTTGTCGCCGGAGCTCAGAGGCTGGTCCTCATAGGCACCTTAGCTCTTTGGGCTCAGTTTTCTGAAACTCACCAAGGGCATCTGTCTTAGGAGTATGTGAGTAAACTTCCTTTAAATCAAATATCTTGTTTCCTTTGGAAAGGTGGAGTGTTTCAGGGTTTTGTGGATTAAGAGGATGAAATGTGTCACTGACATAGGGGAGGCTACCTGGACAGTGAGCTCATGGAATGACCTTTCTGGAACTTTTATGGTGGAATATCGATCTCGTGTAACGCCTGTCAAATGTTACTAGAATTTCTCTGTAGAGTCTGTCTTCTCATGACTGTGACTTAGAGGGCAGGAATTGATCCCAAAGTTCCTCATTCATTTTTAATTCTATCAAAGTGCAGAGGTGTTATAGTTCAGTCCGCTGGGAGTGTGTCGGTCTTCAAGAAGTAACTTTGGATCTCGGGATGTTGGATCTTCACCATGCTGGTGAGAGTGACTGAGAATGCTGTGGCTAAAAAGGGTTCTAGAACCAGGGAGATGATATAGTTCCTTTAGAAGGGAGGATAGGGTGTGGAGAATTTGGCACTAGGTACCCCTGGACATTCCTCTCTGGATACCAACAGAGTGTGTGTCAAGACTTAGTGCTACAGAGAACACATATGTGAGTATGTGGCACTAGCTTGTACCAAAGTAGATTCCTCAGACTTTGGGAATTGGGAGGGGGTTGATTTGGTGAGATTTAAAAAAATACAATTTACACACTCTGAGGTGGAGACACTTATCAGGGAACTAGATATGGTTTGGAGATTACCATCCACAGAATTTATTGATTGGGTTTTTTAAATTTCTTTGGAACCGTATGTTTTATTATGGTCTTAAGGGTTTGGCTCTTTAATTTATTATTATTGATATAGTTAGGTAATATTTTAATTTTAATTTCTGTATTCCCTTTACGTCTGTTTCTTTGCTATACTTGTAGTGCTACTCTTTGGAAAGAAATCATAATTTCTGCTTAGAATTTAGGGGCTGTAAAATTCAGCTGATTCTGGAACAGGGTACGTGCTAAACAATATTTACCTAGTAAACAATATAAGGTTAACAGGGCCAAGTAGGGCAAGAGAGGAAGGAGCCCCACTTTCTTGCTGTCTTTTTTTTTTTTTTTTTTTTTTTTTAATATTCAGCAGCTTCAGCATTGAAAGCAAGATATAAAGAGGAGATGGGAAAGCATTTTGTAATTTATGGTCAAGGGTGATGGGTTGAAAACATTTTGGCTATGCTGTTTGCTTTTCTTTGGGTTTAAATAGAAAAGACATAGGTAACCACTTAGGTACACATTAGGCAAGCGAGGCACAGAGATGCTGGATATGTTTTATGTGTTTTATAAACACTCAGTCCAAGCTAAACCAACCTATTTCCTCCTCTCCTTTCTTCCATCTTGGAGACTGTAGAACCTTTCAATTGTCAGTTGGAATGTGGACAAGCAACAGACTCAAAATTACTAACCATACAAAAAATGTATTTTCCCCTTAAAAAATAACTTGAGCTATAGAAGTTATGAATAGGGTTTTGTTTTATAGAATTATGAAAATAATTTCATTAATATATGAATATGTGGTGGAGCTTAGGATTGTGAGACTCTTGAACTAGAAAATAAAATTCAGCATCAGAAAAATTCTAAGTTACTCATCATAAAATACAGTTTTTGGTAAGAAGTAACTCCAGTACTCTCACTTTTGCAATAGCACTACAACTGAATCCCCAAATTTCATTCTTTTGCTAAGACCATCAACAAAATGAAGAATGAGCTTTCTTTTTTGCCTGAGTAGTCCACATTGATTAGTCGCACATATTATTAAGTATCAACTTTATTATACATTAGGGTTCTGTGGCTATCATTCAGGTAGATAATTAGGCTAAGTTGACTTTAAGAACTAAGTTGAAAGGTGTGCTTGGAAATTTTCATGTCACTCTTACTAAAATGACTTGTTCGAGGTTACTTTTTGTTGTTGTTAAGTAAAGAAACTATCTGACTATAACTGACTAGCAAAATGAAGAGACTTGATAGTCTAACTACTGTTCTTTTACTGTCAGGAGTTTATTTTGATGACCTATATTTTCTATTGGAAAAAAGAGCAAATCAGGAAATTCTTATCAGGCTGACAGCATTTTTAGACTATGTGGTGCGTGGGTGAAGTGGGACTAATATTGACTTGGCCCTATTGCAGTCATCCGAGAATACATATTTTCGTTGTTTTTGCATTCCATAAGGTTTTATCATTATTATCCATGAAGATTGTTTTCTCCGTACATGGGAAGTGACCCCTAATAGCATCTTGCCTTGGAGACAAAAATAAGGGCTACAACTCCTACTGCATTTGAAAAATTGATTTGTTAAGCAGAAAAAAGGAAAGCCGAAAAAGTGATAGAGTTATAAAGAAAGTTGAATGGTCATTTATAAAATGTTAGAAGAGAAAGCATTTAAATTTTGTATTACTTCTGTAATTGATTCTAATAGTGTAACTTTGAATTTATTTTTTCTCAAAACTGTGTAGCTCAGAAGTCCTTGTAAATTAATATATCATAATGGTTTATTATGATGGATTTCATACATAGGTATATTTTTTCCTCGTAGTGTATGATCATGTAGCTGAAAATTAGTTTTGAAGTAACAGGATATCATACTACAGGCATGTATACTCTGCTTTTCTCATAAAAGCACAAACATGCACCTGAAATTTTAAGTTCAGATTTTTTGTCAAGCATGTCATGCATTGTAGGTGGGTAATAGGTTAATGTCTTAAAAACATAGTTGCCTGCATTCACATCAGGCTGCACTATGATATGTTAGTTAGGCATACAGTAGGCTACATGAATTAAAATAATTTGTAAATATGTGTGCAGAGTAAATTTTGTAGTGCCTGACATAAATTACTAGAAATTGCATGGCTGTTAGTAAATCTCATAGTGTGCTTTATCCAGCCAGGAATTGCTAAGAGATGCTAAGCTCCCTGGTCCTCATGCCCACCATCTCTTTAACATCTCCTCAAGGGAACTCTTGACTCAGTCTCTCAGCACATACTCCAAAGGCATGATGACGCTGCAGAACATGTACAGAAAGGAATGTGCTTGTATTCTAACAGTGACAGTAGGAACTAAGACAAAAAAGTTTCCAAATATGTGTCAGGAAAAATTGAGGGAAGTGATATGAAATCATAGATTCCCTTCATACCCAGTGGATGTCGCATCTTAAATGTAGACAGTCTGTTACTGTCTAAATCTGCCCCCTACCCCGTTTATTTATAATGTGTACATTAGAAAGATACTTAAAGCTTTCAGAAATGTGTAGTTTATAGATGAGGTGATGAAAGCAGAAAAAAGTCGTCGCCATTTTCTTAATTGTGTGTAGGAGTTTTTAACCGTTACACTTTGAGCTTCATATAAGTTCAAGCATATTTACTCCGTCCTCTTCAAGGGTGACAGCTGGGGGAATCTGCATGCATGCTTTCACTTAAAAGAATTAAATGCTCTTAGGAGGCAGAAGTCCAGTTATAAGTTTATGAGGAGTTTTGTTTTGTTTTGTTTTGTTTTTTCAAACTATTTCTCTGGACTTTGCTACCTTGCTTAGGTCATAAAAACCCCTCAAAGATTCTTTTTGTCAGAAGACACCCTGAAAAACCATACTTCAACCCGTCCTTTTGCAAATGGGAAAATGTATGTTAATAGGGTTGAAATGCCTAGCAAAAATTCAAAACTGTTTGGTGACAAAATTAAGACCACCAGATGCCCTGCTCCCCAAAGTAGCATCTTTCCACCACGCCATCCCTGTCTCCTAGGCTCTTCTTTTCATTCTTTTTTTTTTTTTTTTTTTTTTTTTTTGCCATTGCACAATAGGCTTATTTTTGTCTTTACTGCTCCAAATCAACTTTTTGATAAAGAAGATTAATATGCAGTAGATTCTTTGGCCTTGGAATTTAAAATTCTTTCCAAGTCCTTGGTAGTGTACTTTTTTAGTTTAGGCATTCCAAAGTCCTTTTGAAAGCATTTGTATTATGCTAATGACTTTTGCTATCCATTCTGCATCCTTTGTTGATGGGGAAGAATATCCACTTAGTAAATGAACGTTTATTTATTTTAAAATAATCTTCAGGAAGTGGTATTAGCAGTCAGCTTTAAGTGCCTCATATATTACTGTTATTCCAACATAAGTTTAGATTCATTAAAAGGAAAGAATACGATTATATCCTAAATAGTTTCAATACACAGCCAACTTATTTAAGGTGGAGGATCCAATTTTCTTGCAACTGTAAGCAAGGACTTAAGTGGATTTATAAGAATTCATACAGGACTTATTTGAGAAAGAACAGTCCCTATAATTCCACCCTACACAAATTAACTTGCCTGCAGAGACTTAGAAGCTTAAAGTGCCCCATGGTTTTATGCTCCCAATAACTTTCCGCCAGAAAATTCAAAGCTAGAGAAAAAAAATTAAACTTTAAAATAACCAAACTTAACTGTTGTCTCTGGCAGTCAACCAGAATAGAGATTACAATAACGATAGTAAAGGAAGGCTTGGAATCCGTAAAATCGCGTGTGGTGAAGATATGTTCACCAGGAAACCAAATGCCAGGATGAGATGACATTCTTTGGAAAGGAAAGGGTATTTTGGATAGATGCAAGGAAGTCCTGCTTCACCTAACACTTAACGTCCCCCATCTCACAAAGCTGGGGATGGCAGGGACATGAGCCATGCCAAAGTAAATGAGGGTGTTCACAAGGTAAAACCTTGCTATCCTCAGTGTCACTCTTTGGGCTATTACAGCAAAGATGCTGAGCTGACCCCTTTGGGTAGTATATATGTTTCTGTCTTGTATCTTTCTGTGCAAAGGGAATGTTCAACAAGACTGTAAATTTTATGCTCAGGATGCTTAGGGCAGATCTGAGAGCAAACTTGTACATCATACTTTTTGTCTGTCATTCTAAAACCTGGGCACTGAACTTGAATCCAATTCCCATAGGCCCTGTTTCCAGCTAGCTTAAAAAAAAAAAAAAAAATCCCAAACTAATTCATCCAGTAATAGTTAATAACTTAAGGTATTATCTCCAGAGAA